CCCCAAAACCCCAAAACCCCTGAAGAAGGAATAGATATATGATAGAAGAAATTCGAATAAAAAGTTTAATAATAATCTCTTAGCCTTAAATAGTCAGGAGTAATTATATTTACAAACAGCACACATTCTTACTCACTCATTATCACAGCGGGAAGCAAGACGTTGCTCATTTCAGCAGTCAGTAATAGTTTATTAAGAATTTCATACTATTTCAAGAATTTGTATTGAGATATCGTCTACTGTATTCATATCCCAGGACAGCCATTTCTCCTTGGCAATGTTTGCCAACTATTGGCATAGAATTTGTGGTTCTGATTAAAATCTATTTAGTTATATGTAGTCTCTGACTTGGTATTTGTCGAGTGCATCCCAAATACCGTCACTGGCAGAAACAATGACATACTCATAGTCATCTCTATTAATCTTGTAAATAGTCACATCTGGAGTTGGAATTACTCCAACTGTGTGAGCTAGTTTATCGCCGATTGATCTGCTCATTGCAAGACCTGGAAATTCCTTTTCCCTAATCCAAACTCTGTATGTTCCAGAAGGATTACCATTTTTATTTTAAGCTTGCCTGACCTCACCTTTCATTTTTTCTATTCTTGCTCTCTCTTGGTAATCATAAGGTTTATGATCAACAGACATTTGGAATGGCTCGCCCTCGAAAGCTTTATCTTGATAAGAATTGGCAAAAGGAGACCTTTTGGATTTGAGGAGGATTGCTTTCGAGTCACCTACGTTGGCTGAGTAAATAAAGTCACTCATAATTACAATAGCAGTCAAAGTGGAACCGCTTAGTAAAACATCGAAATCTTGACCATTCATTTGAGTGTTCAATCTCTTGAATCCTTTTTGCAAGGCTGTCTTGATATCTAGGTGATATTTGCTTGACTGAAGTAAAGTTGACTCATCAATGGTGTTGAAGGATTAAATAACAGCCACAAGCTCGGTTTCAAGTATTTTAGGGAGAATTTGTATAATGCACTCACTGACGTGATTTCCAGTTGGACCATGCCCATCTGCTACAATTAAGAGTTTACAAACTTTAGATTCCAAAAAGTAATCAGAGTTGTACAACAATCTATCTTAATTGATCTTAGATTTGCCGCCGGATTTGCCAGCGATAGTATGCTATCCATATTTGAAAGATATTTAATCCTTTTATATCTATTAGCTAATATTATTAATGTCTGTGTTACTGATTGTATTGAAAAATTATTTAGCTTGAGTTGGTTTTGGTGCACTTAGCGATGTGCCTTGACCACCAGAGACGTCTAAGATTGGTGAAGAAAGTTTAGACTTCCTCATAGTTTGTTTAATGGTATAATAATGGCTTTTATTGCTGCCTTCAAAAAGGTTTTAGATACCACACTCAAGGGTGTCTTGGTTAGATTCTCTTGAAAATGAATCTCTTCCTTTTAATTCTTCGAAGACAGAGGCTCTGGATTTAAGGTAAGATTTGGGGATAGGATCAAGTCTCGCTTAGGAGCGGGAGTTATTGTTTGTAAGTTTCTTCGTTTTGTCTATCTTCTAGGTGAGAATTGGGTTTACAAGACTTGAGGGAGGCTTTAAGAAATTGTTTTACATCAAAATTTGCGTCTTTGGACCTGCATTTTATTATAATAAGGCATCATCCAGCGAGCCCATATAATGTTGTATTCTTAGTTTAGTCGAATTTCGGCTCTTCAATCTCTCGTCGAGAGGTGGTAACAGGTCTTTTTTCTATTCTCCTCTAGTCAAGAAGGAGGACATTGATGAATCCCTATGATAAAATTACGAAATATTGATTTACCTAGTAAATAATTTATCAGGCAAAGTCGCAACCCCTCCAGCTGGAGTTGCGTTGTTATTCTAACCATTAAAATGCGAAAAATTCTTTGAGTGAGATCCCTTCAAAGCTTCTAGTTTGTTCTATTGATTTTGTAAGGCTATGTTCTAAATAACATTCTTTGATGAGCCCCATCTGTTAAGTATGCTAGATGAAGACTTGGTAGATTGCTAACTTTGTAGTATATTTTATGGAGATTATTCTTGCTTTTAAAGCTTAAACATTAGTTTAATAATTAATTAATTATGCAAAGCACACTCTAATATGAATTTATTCCCAAAGTAGGGCCAGTATTTATTTATCTAATTCTATTTTACTGATTTGGTACGATAATTTGGCTCTGAGGTTTTGGGGTTTTGGGGTTTTGGGG